CAATACAGGCAGTCAGAATGACAATAATTTATATTAATAATAATAATAACAATATTGTTAAAATAATATTTGTATACAAATACAAACAATAACAATAATGTAGCAAGTAATTTGATCATGACAATTGACAAGCATGGATCCAGAGCAAAGATCTGGGGGGGGGACAACAATTTTTTACAACACAAATACAATTATAATATAATATATATATATATATATATGTATATCTTAATTTAAAAATATTGTCATAATAGTACAGTCAGTACAGATAATCAATGTAATTAATAAATTATTGATTATTTAATATACATATAAAGGGACAATGTGAAAAGAAGTTTAGATTTTGTTTATTTGTTCTTTAATAATTAATATGAGAAATAATATATCTCGGGGGGGGGGCCTAGGCCTCTAGCCTCCCCCCTGTACAGTTATCGTTTGGATCGTGAGGTTGATTACAGAGACAGTGGCTTTCGTGATATCAAAGTACGACGATCCGGCTACGTGGTATCAGCACGCTCGGCAATTTATTACTGACCCTTGTCCCTTTGATTAACATGACGTAATACCAACAACAGCAGCAACTTACGATGTTCACTATCGGCGGACCAGTACAACAACTCACAAATAATTATTGTCGTTACCGACGACGTTCAGGACGAGAATCGTAATACACGACCGTCGAACAGCGAAAAACAACAGTGGCGAACGACAAGAAAACGAATTCTTCGAACATTCAGAGCACGTTAAAAATGACGACCGTGGAACCACAGACGCGTACACCATGTCACCATGCAGTTGTGCAGATTCGGAGCTTAACTTATAAGACAGTGGCGCGACGATGTAAACCGAAGAGTACTGAGGGCCAATTCTTGAAATCGTGGTTAACTTTGTCGCATGCGATAAAATTTTTATCGCATGAAAATAAATAATTGGTATTCTTGAATTATGGTATGACTTTAGTCGAACGAAAAACATTCGACTATTTGTCGACTGGTAAAAAGTCGGTGACAAGCTTATACCTCGCATTATGATTTATCAAATGACACATCAATACTGAATCAATTAATAATTTTAAAATTATAACAACTTAACTTTAAATATTAAATTTGTGTATTATCCAATTCTGTTAGTGTTATTAATTGTTTTTTTTATTATTCAACTTTTTATTACCTACTCTGCACTAATAATAATTAATAATGGCAAATTTTCAAGAAATGGCAATGTTCTTTGACATTAATATCGTTGAGGAACATGAAATTAATGTACATAATGAAAGACAGACGCGAAATACAGAATACATTACTGACCCGTTTACATTGTCTGATCGATTATTTATAAAAAACTTTAGACTGACTAAAGACGCTGTTAGATATTTAATTGATTTATTAAGGCCTCATATAATATCTAACACCCGTTCGTCTGCGATTGATTTGAATACTAAGGTAATAACCTACATATTGTCATTAGACTTAAAAGTGATTTTGGTGATTTTTACCTGATTTTAGTTAATTTTAAAATTGAACGCCTATTGTTTGTACCTAATTTATGATTTATATAATATTTAGATTTTTTCTACTTTGAATTTTTTGGCGACGGGCTCTTACCAATCTCCTATTGGTAACAGCAAATTTATGGTGCTGTCACAACCAACTGTATCGCGATGTATAAGTGAAATTGTGGCAGCACTTAATCTGCCTGAGATATTTCAAGCATGGGTTAGATTTCCTTAAAATTTGAGTGAGCTGTCTGAAATACGCAATGAGTAACTACTTAATTTTCAGTTTAGGTATTTTTCAAATAATTTGTTAATATTGTTTTTAATTTGTTCAATAAATAAGGTTTTACAAAGAAACTGGATTTCCAGGTATTATTGGTTGTGTTGAATTGCACTCATGTGGCAATCGTACCTCCATCAACTAACTTAAATCTAAATGAAAATCAATATCCAGAGTATATTTATGTGAACCGTAAAGGTTATCATTCAATTAACGTTCAATTGGTAATCTTTTAAAACGGATTTATAATTAAATTTATATAAGTATATAGCAATGATTGTAATTTAATTTCTAAATATTTAGACACTCGTCTATAGATTTGTGATTCAAAACTCAACATTTTGAACGTTAATACACTTTTTCCTAGAATTACGCATGATATCCACGTTTGTAATAATAGCTCAATCTTAAAAACACTTCAAGAACTACACAGTCGTAATCACAAAGATGTTTTTTTAGGGAGAACAGCAGTTGTCCGAAAATTGATAACAGCTCTGACCGAAAAATGGTGGCGTTGAATCTATTGCTAACATCCAAACTTTAAAAAAAAATTGTTAAAATAATTATTGTTTCTTTTAGTGGTATCACTAGTTTGAAACTTTAAAATAAAAGAATTAATATACTACCTTTTATGCTATTTATATGATGGTTACCCGATTGTCATTCACTAATCACTTATGTCTTATTTATAGCATGACAAAATAGATCTATTTTGTCATGATTTATAGTTAATTTATCTGAACTATTAATAATACGACCATTAAATAGATTAAATTTAACCTATTTCTATTCCTTAATATAATTACACTGTATAAAAACATTAAAGACGTATTATTATATAATATAATATCCTAATCATATGAAATATTAATAAATCATTATGAATATGAAAGTGGTCTCTACTTCTCTTTCTCTTTCAACAAGTTGTATAATCCAGAAAAACGGAAAATGTTCTATATGTATTATTATGTATAAATATTTGTAATCCAGAAAAGTACAGAAAATGTTATATATATATATATCATTATGTATAAAATATATTTATATGTTTATATTACAACTAAAATACCGACTTTTGTTTGTAATGGTTGGCAATGCTTTTTGATTTTCAAACTGTTATCAGTCGTCGGTTTCTTATCATTTTTCGGACAACTGCCTACGACCCGTTTTTTTATTAGGTTAGATTTTTATCATGCTCTCCTTGCTGATTGACAATAATTTATAAAAATAACTACCTACTACTTTATAGTTACTAAATAAAGTAACTTAATATTTGAGTTTTAGTATATAGTAATTAGGTAGGTATTTTTATGTTTTTTTACAAATAATATTAGGAGATTMTGGATATCCTTTGCGCCAATGGCTGCTGACGCTAATTGCTAATCCTACTACAAATGCAGAAATCTATTATAACCAGAGACAAATGTCAAGCAGGAGCATTATTAAACTATGTAACGGAGTCTTAAAAATGCGATTTCGGTAACATTTCTTTTAATTTCATTTTAGATTCCAGTATGTACCTATATGATTATGCTGTTTAGGTGTCTACTAAAAGATAGGACTTTGCACTATAAGCCTGAAAAAGCATCATTGATAATTAATGCGTGTATAGTCTTACACAATATCTGTATCACCAACAATGTTCCTTTGCATGATGATGAAGATGAGATTAATAATTTGCGTATGATAGAAGATGATGCAATATTTGATGATAATCATAATATCAACAATCGAAACATAAAATTAACACGGAAGAAAACAGAGGGATAGAGTTGTACAATATTTATTTAATAGAAATGATGTAGTATAATAATATCATTAATATTGTGATGTAATATACTTTTACTTTTCATTGAAAATCTTTGTTTTTCCTCTCTTTAGAATAATAACAAGGACCAAGGAAATAAAATAATATACAATTTTTCAATAACATACATTTTTTGAGATAAAAAAAATTAATAAAACACTTTTTTGTCCATACTTGTAACATTAAATCATAATTGGTTAATTTTAAATAAAAATATATAATAATAAAAATCAACAGCCTTTTCCTGACTTAGTTGGACTTTATAACAAAGGATATAAAATAATACATTTCTTAATAACATACATTTTTTGAGATAAAAAAAAAAATAATAAAACACTTTTTTGTCCATACTTGTAACATTAAATCATAATTGGTTAATTTCAAATAAAAATATATAATAATAAAAATAAACAGCCTTTTCCTGACTTAGTTGGACTTTATAACAAAGGATATAAAATAATAATAMATTTCTTAATAACATACGTTTTTTGAGATAAAAAAATTAATAAAACACTTTTTAGTCCATACTTGTAACATTAAATCATAATAAGTTAATTTCAAATAAAAATGTATAATAATAAAAATAAACAGCCTTTTCTTGACTCAGTTGAACTGCATAACAAAAAAACTAAAACACTATTACTAATACATTTTTTTAAAGAGATCTATCATTCATAAATGTAGTGAGTAATGTATTTATGTTTTTAAATATAGTATTTTGTACTTCTAAAAGTTTTTTTTCATACTATTTTTCTTTAATATCGCACTTTCTTTCTGAGATGTCTCCTAAACGAGTTGCAGCTTTATTGCTTTCCTCTAACCCGAATGCAACATTAGCTTTTCTTTTTAGATCTAGTAATCATATAAAATCATTGAGTTTTATTATTTATAGAATAAATGTACTATAAAATAAAATTAATAATTCAATGCATTGATCTTAAGAAATTGGAAAAATATAATAAATGATAATAATAATATGGACCTCAACCATTTTATACAATCATTTATTGTTACAAAACAATTGGTAATACTAATTAAAAAAAGTAGGCAAGTGAGTTAGGTTGTATTAGTAATGTATTTTACAATTAGGCATTAGTAAATTCATTTTTCCTAATAAATTACATTTGAGAATGTTATAGTGTTTACAAAATATAATAATCTACTTCAATAGGCTTAGATTATAACAAAATAACTAGAATCGGTATTCGTTTTAAAGATTCAAGTCAATTATTTGTTTATATTTCTTATTAAAAGTGAATTATAAATGTGTAAGAATATTACATGGATAAGGAGCAATGGATGATGGCATTTGAATATTTTCATTCTCATTAGAAACTATAATAATATAACAATTAATGAGAATTTGCTAAAAACGTAAACATTGAATAATCAAATTTGTAATACATACAATTAATGTTATCAGAACTTGACTCTGTAATCCACTTTGATTCATTACATAGTTCATCGCAACCTAAACAGAGCACATTATTAAAACTATAATTTTTCAATTCAATGAATATTTAGTTACCCATTTTACAAATTTACAAATTAATACAATTTCTGTAGAAACATCATTAAAGTCAAAGTCAACAAGTGATTCTGATGATTGTATGTGGCCACTTACAGATGTTTGACTTATTAAACTTAATGCGTCTTTTAGAATTTCACTTAATTCAATGGTACAAGGTGGACCTCCACCGGTACCCGATATATGACGTTTTAGGCATAAATGCAGTTTAGCTCCCAAGCGATTTTTTGGAATTTTTTTTTTTCAAAATGTGTGTTTTGCATGTTTAATTTGATGGTACTTTCAAAAAAAGCCGGTCGAACTTATTTTGGAAGTTATGGCCAAAAAACTTCAAAATGCTTAACTTTTTCAAAAAACGTGTTTTTGAATTGAAAATACAAAAAATTTAAGTTTTTAGAATTTTTTTTTTTTTAGATACGTTTGTGTTTAT